ATATATATATATAGCTAGTATCTATGGGGAAGTACGGTATAACATTATTGTCACATATATATATATATATATATATATCAAACTTCGGTCTATGCCGATAGACCCTGAATATCCTAATCTATATTGGGAACAGAAATTTATTTTTAAAGGAATACTAAAGCTGAATACGGATAGCTCAGAAGACTCGGAATCCAAACTTATTTTTGCCGTCGAATCAGAAAAAGGCTGGGTGAATAGGTGTAACTGCTTACTACCTGGAACATTAAATTGACTAATTAACCAACTACAGTAGACTCGGGATATGCAAACCGAAATTCGGGAATGTGACTTGGATTCGAAAAAATTACTTGAGTAACATTGTAACACTAAACAGTTTATGTTAGAATTTCAGGATATTTCATTCACGTCAGGATGACGGTTTTTGAACGAGCCTTTTTCGCCTGACCGGCTGTAAAAGGTACACCCTGACAACTTAAGTAGTAAAAATTTTTCACTGCTCTTATAAATTCAAATATGTTTTACAGAATAAAAATGCATAAAGTATATATTCTGTCTTGTGCTCATTTGGTAGCAAGTTTCATCTTTTTTTTAAATCTTGAATTCAAAGTCTCGAAAATACACGCTATACGCATTCTATCTTAGGATAAATAAATATTACACTATGGTATGAGAAAGAAGTCATTAAGGTCTCATAAAATTTTGCTATGGGTGCGGATCAGGTTGAATAAATTATAAGCGTTATAAATAAATGGCCCCATATGTTGCTCTGTCATTTCATGGTCGAAAAACATGTCATACTTAGAGAGTTTTTTGAAACCGAAACATATCCTTCCTTCAGATATGAAGGGTTATTCTGCTACCAAACCGGTACAGCAAAGCATATTCTGAATAGTCGAAAGGATATTTGTGTGCATTTTTTCCATAAAATATACTCAAATTTATAAGAGCAGCGAAAAATCATGAAAAAATGCATACTACTAACGCAGCCAGGTTAAAAAAGAAAGCCTCTTCAAAAGCCGGCATCCCGACATGATTGAGAGTAATTTGCATGCTAATCACAACTTCAACCATTGAAAGGCTCAGATCGAAAGCTCATTTTAGCATTTCAGTTGGAATTTCATAAGCTGGGAACTTTTTTTTCATATATATCTGCATGCATGGATTTAACCTCTACATACTAAATTAAATGAACCTAAATACAAATGAGCACGCCGCGGCCGGCTATCAACCGGTTTCAGCATAGGACAGGCATGACTTACAAAACTTCGCACAGGTATCTCCCTCCACCGAAGTGTAAGAATGCTTGATTTCGGCCAATAGCGGGTCTTCCTCCGCAACTCGCGTACTAGTAAGGCGTTCCCCGTCGTTCTTTTTGCCCGTGTTGAGAAAATTCACCATATCGGTAAGAACACGACGTTGTGAGCGCGAGGGTTTAAAGGCTTGAGCATCGCAACGAATAGCGTAGCAGGGACAGCAGTTGATTGAATTAGTTGGCTGGTAACAGGAGTAGCCACTTCTAATGTGGGTGGCTTTATTATCTAACCCCTAACCAAAACCTACCGTCTCCATCCACGTTCTATGAGCGCCTCGAAGTCAGCAACGGTCAATTTCTCCGCAGTCATTACTGTAAACCGAAAAAAAGAGGTAATTGCGTAAACAGCAGAATTTATTGAAAACCATTGGTATGATTAATTATAGAGGTCCCATAAATCACGTCGACTTATAATAAAAACACCTTTAAATGTTCAGTAGCCTGACTTTAAATTTCTTCGCTAAATTTCATCAATAGGAGGATGAATTTTTCTCGAGTGGCATTCGTATCCTGCGCAACAGATGTTTATTTTGATTGAATTTGATTCGATTTAGCATATTACAACAAACATAATCTTATTTAATTTGTCTTTTTTTATTAATTCCGCCATAATTACATACTACTTTACGCTCAATAGCCAAGAATTATAT